CGCCCTAAACAACATGCATTTTCGTCCAAAAGAAACAATTTTGACGAGCCCATGATACTCTAAACAATATGGTTATGTGTCCTAAGCAAGCTTATGACAATAAAATGAAATTCTGCCGCTAATAAAACCAACTGTTCAATTAGTTTTTACCCATAAACTAACGCATGAATAAATTAGTTCTGTAGCATTAGTCTTAATGATCAATATCAATGATCACGCAACGGCATTAGTGATCATGTCGTCATTAGACTCTTCCAGCAATAAATCGCCCTTTGCCGTAGAAATCTTAAATCAGATCATCTTCTCTCAAAATTGGAATCAAAAAAAAATTCCACATACCTCACATATTGAACTAATAGATCACTATTGAATATATCAATAATACTTCCTTCAGTGTTTAGCGGGTATGGCAACTAAAGTTATCAGCTCAGAAATAGCAAACTCTGAGTTTAAAATAGCAAAACCATAAGAATAAAATAAATTTTCTTAAAATCTTCTGTTAAAATTGTAAACCGATTTTTAACTATTCAAATGCCTATTTACTGAAATGCCTATTATATATATTCTAAAAACTAGAAATCATTTTTTGTATTTATTTTTGGATATTGATTTTGTTAATAGGTGTTCAGAATGTGCAATGCATAGTTTTTGCACAACGATCAAGAGATCAGTAATGTATGTTTGTTTGTAATGTTATTCCAGCAATAGCTTTCAGTTTATCATTTAATAACTTTAATTAGAATCTTAACTACCTAGGGGCAATATTTTCAAAATAAGGCATCCAGAGGAACGACTTCAATTGCAATCAACATTCAAACTCTAACATTTCTTCAGGAATGATTACTATGGGTCATTACAAAAAATTATTTCAGACTTTTTTTATATATATTTTTTATAACACTTTTTCTAACAAAACTTCTGAAATAAGATTACCAGAAACTGAAGCAGGCGAAGATTATTAAGGTGAGATATTCCATTCCCATCTGAATTCACGACAATTCTAACAGTTGATATTCTGGCCTTTGAGGTACTTTGAGGTACTTTGAGGTACTTCATACATTTTCTATTTTATTTTACTGTTAAAAAATTAATCGTAAAGGGTCATTCTATTGTAATTAGATAGTATGTTACTGTCAACCGAATTTCTTCTAATTAATTAGAATTCAATATATCCGTAATTACTGACATTAATGTTTCCTGGCCTTAAATATTTGTCCACCTAAAGCTTAGAGTTGTTTTGTGCTTAAGTCTGCTATTTAGTTCAGACATTAGAATGGTTTCTACTACATTTGCATATGAAACTCTTTTCATTAGCTTGCTTATAAAATAAAAAAAACTGTGATCTAAATTATAAGGTAATTAAAAATTTCCGACGAACAAAGTATTTTATTTGAATAATATATTAAATATAATTTGTATACACAAATCGAACCAAAATTCTACAATAAGAGAATACATTCATCAAATTCGAAAATTCCGATTAATCATACATTTCCCTTCCAAAAAGCATAACTCATACAATATTTTTGGTCTTGTAAAGCAGAACATGGAACAACGTGTAACATTACTCATTGACAAACGCTCAAGACAACCAACTAATTATTGGAGGAAAAAAGCTATATTAAAATAGAAATGTGAATATATTCTCGCAGATTGTTTCAATGTACTTCAAATGTGAAATACTATAAGCAGGCAGCGTACTTAAAGATTTTTAGATGTTTTCAGTTTGATTAATGTCATTGCCGTTGGTTTAGTTGGGTGCGCATTGTTCGGAGCTCACTTCTACCACATTTAGAAATTGCGTTATTTTTGAAAATAATTTGAGTAGAACATAGAATTTAAATATAAAATTGCGCTTTTCCAACCTTTACGGGTTACCCTTCGACTGTTCGAAATTTGGCAGCCGAGGCAAGCTGCAAAGACTAGTTCAAGAGCGAAGCTAAAAAAAAATCATATTCATGTACACATCAAGGTGGATCTGCAGTAATAAACATAAAGAAATTATATAAAATTGCCTCTAGCACCCTCTTTTCAAAGTTTTTCTTTTATTTTTATATTGTTTTTTTTTTGAGATTTTTATTTTGTAAACAAATCAGCTCAATTTGATATTTCAGGCAGGCATTGAAAATATTTTTTCAGCTAAAATCTCTTTATCTGGCCATTATTTGGTGCACTTGTAAAAATGTCTGTGCACATATTTTCGTTTACGAGCGCTATAATTTTAAGTGCATTTTCGTTCATAAATTTAATTGGCATTTATTTGCCTGACTTAAATTGATTTAAAACAATTTGATAAAAGTTGTAATTTTTATATATTTATTCTTTGACCATACATTATCATGTATCACAACTTAAGAATCGAAGGATAAAATAGTGATTTGGGCGATTACGAGAAAACTTGAAAGACTTCTAGATATACATTATAGCTGATAAAAGTATACAAAACTTTAACTTCAAACTTTTTTATACAACTATAAAGAATCTCAAAAGTCGATTTAAGGGCATGAATAAATTCATTAACATAAAATTGATGAAATGAAAAAGTTTTATAAAACATGTATATATGCCATAATTTTAACTATGCTATCAAAAGATATTTCACATCAAGCCCTATCTCCATTATTATTATTCTACACACATATTTAGAACATTATATATTACTATTCCGTATTAGCATTGACGTTATGATATATATACTTCAAGCCGGTTCAGTATTTGTTCATGATGGGCCAAAAACATTTCCTCATTTATGACTCCAAACGCTGTTTTCTTTCTTTCATCAGTCGGAGGCAGTTACTTACTTTACCATTGTGACAAAACTCAAATATAATTGAAAATAACCGAAACTGATTGGGTTACTATAACTCAGACTTTTTAGTTTCCTTAAGTAATTGAGAAAAAACGTGAACAATATTCAAAACATCTAAACCCATCAATCTTCGCAAATGCAGTCTTCCCAAATGCAAGGCAATTATAAACGAAGTGCTCTGTATTGTATATTATATATATATATATTTATATATCGGATCTGTGATTATACCAATGCTTTTCGTCAATTTATAACTACAATACCACATAAAAAGGGAGCCAATATAAAATATAGTCTATTACATTTCGCAATGTTTTCTAACTTTATCTTACATGCACTAATAATATTTGTAGAATTTGAGGGATTTACAAGTGCATTCGCATTGATAGTGAGGCTATCAATGCGGATGCTGATATACTTTCCATGCTATTTCTTCATGATAATTCAGTAAGCCACTTTCAGTGTGGCATAAACTTCTAATAAAAAATATCATAAAAATCGTAAAGGAGAGGTTAGAATCTGTGTTCGCAAATGGGACATAACAATATGGTTTTTTATGAGTACACTCTGGGTGTTAAAATCATGACTCGCTGCAATTCTTTGATCCAAAGTTTTAATATTAGCCAATATTTATTTTTAAAACCTTTATGT